ACAACAGCACTTAAAAATGGCAGTTTACAACAGTCATAATACAGCCACATTTTACTGCAGTAGTCAACATCCTCTTCTTCCACTTATGTAAATCTTTTTCTCTGGATTATAAATGCTGGAGGTATTAGTTTTAAAAAAATAAGCAATGTTTTCAGCTCTCTGTCACCATGAATATGAACAGTGTTCTGTCCCACTCTTTGTTAAGTGTGTCCATTCTCTTCTGTCCTGTCTTCCAAATTTAAGCCATGCTGCACTGTTGAAAAGGACTGTCACATTACTTTGCTCTGAGAAATTCTAGGTGAAAGTCCTTGAATCTGTGTGTGTCTCCAATTCTGTGGCCACTTGGATCAATACATAAGCTCACCTCACACAAAAACAAAGATGATTTAATATTTTATTAGGGTTTCAATCTGGTATCCTTTAATTCACATTATATACAGTATATTTGTCATGCTCCATTGGTGGATTGCTCAAATAAATATCAGCATAACATCACATGACAATAAAAAAAACAAAAATATACAAAATATTAATATGAATTGAAAATATAATTTTGAGTAATAGTAATAAATATATGTTACAACAATGTACAAAAATCAAGGTCACAACTCACTTCCGCAAGTGTGTATAAAAAATGGGACAGATACAGTGGAAGTCAGAAGTTTACATACACTTAGTTTACTGTGCCTTTAAACAGCTTGGAAAATTATTGAAAATGATACCATGATAGGCTAACTGACATCATTTGAGTCAGTAGGAGGTGCACCTGTGGATGTATTTTAAGGCTGACCTTCAAAGTCAGTACTTCTTTTTTGACATCATGGGAAAGTCAAAAGAAATCAGCCAAGAGCTCAGAAAAAATTGTGGACCTCCACAAGTCTGGTTCATCCTTGGGAGCAATTTTCATCACCTGACGGTACCACGTTTATCTGTACAAACAATACTACGCAAGTATAAACAGAATGGGACAAAGAAGGCATCATACCGCTCAGAAAGGAGATGTGTTTTGTCTCATAGAGATGAATGTACTGTACTTTGGTTTGAAAAGTACAAATCAATCCCAGAACAACAGCAAAAGACCTTGTGAAGACACTGGAGGAAACAGATACCAAAGTATCTATGTCCACAGTAAAATGAGTCTGATATTGACATCACCTGAAAGGCTGCTCAGCAAGAAAGATGCCACTGCTCCAAAACCACCATAAAAAAGGCAGACTACGGCTTGCAGCTGCACATGGGGACATAAATCTTATGTTTTGGAGAAATGTCCTCTGGTCTGATGAAACAAAAATTCAACTGTTTGGCCATAATGACCATTGTTACGTCTGGAGGAAAAAGGGGGAGGTTTGCAAGCCAAAGTGCACCATCCCAACCTTGAAGCACAGGGTGGCAGCATTATGCTGTGGGGGTGCTTTGCTGCAGGAGGGACTGGGGCACTTCACAGAATAGATGGCATCACGAGGAAGGAAATTATGTGGATATATTGAAGCAACATTTCAAGACATCAGCCAGGAAGTTAAAGCTTGGTCACAAAGGGGTCTTCCAAATGGACAATGACCCCAAGCAGACTTCTAAAGTTGTGGCAAAATGGCTTAAGGACAAGAAAATCAAGGCACTGGAGTGACCATCACAAACCCCTGACCTCAATCCAATAGAAAGTTAATGGGCAGAACTGAAAAAGTGTGTGCGAACAAAGAGGTCTACAAACCTGACTCAGTTCCACCAGGTCTGTCAGGAGGAATGGGCCACAATTCCAGCAACTTATTGTAAGAAGCTTGTGGAAGACATCACGAAACATCTAACCCAAGTTAAACAATTTAAAGGCAATGCTACCAAATAATAACCAAGTGTATGAAAACTTCTGACCCACTGGGAATGTGATGAAAGAAACAAAAGCTGAAATAAATCCTTTTTTTTAACGATTATTCTGATATTTCACATTTTTAAAATAAAGTAGTGATCCTAACTGACTTAACACAGGTTTCAACTGTAAATGGTCTTGTATAGTGCTTTTCTACACTTTGAAGTATACTCAAAGTGCTTTAACAATATTTCCCATTTGCCCATTCACTCAAACAGATGTTCACTCACTCACATAGTGGTGTTATCACTGAGGGCAACTTGGGGTTCAGTGCCCAAGGACACATCGACATGTGGACTGGAGAAGCCAGGGACTGCACCACATCAGCTACTGTACAAGGGCAATTTCACTTAGTGTTTTTCTAATAGCAGTCATAGTCCATGCTGAGGTTTCAATCCTGTTGTACTTATTTCTGCTCTCTCTCATTCTAAATCCAGCTCTTTCATTTCCTCAGAGGAAGTCCCCTGATTCTCACTGGTCTATTCATCTGTCCAGTGTCTGCGTTCTGCACACCTGCATTTCATCTTTGCTTATTACTCACCTCGATATATGTCCTCTTGTTTCTCTGCCAGATTGTTTGTCATGCGTTTTTAGCCATAGCCTTTGAGTATTTCCTTATGTCATATTTCTAGTGTACTTAACTTAGCCGTTTTTGTATCTCAGCCTTAATCTAGCCTATGTCCTACCTTTTTCCTCAAGTTCCAACCTTGCCTGTTTTCACGTTGATTTGCATATATTCTGTCATATTTGGTACAACATTAAACTAGAGACTCAACTTGCTGTGTGATAGAACAATCTAGCCAGCATGCACCCAGCTGGCTCTCAGACCATTCAAGAGCAGCTTGTAGCCCAGGGGGACACCATCCATCATCATGAGCAGCAGCTATCTGCTATGTTGGGGGGAATTCAAGAAAGCTGCACACTAGACTTACCTACTGGAGATGCTGTGCGGGAAATGCTGTCACCCCCATACCTGAAGGGTATGGGGGTGACTCAGAAGGTCGCTGGCCTTTTCTTACCCAGTGTACTGCTGCCTTTCAGGTGCAGCCTTCCTCTTTTCCTACAAATTGCTTCAAGATAGCTTACATTATCGCTCTTCACACTAGTCAAACCAAGCTGTGGAAAGTGGCAGAGTAGGAACAAGAGATCGACAACTGTTTCCGACAGTACATGGAATCACAATTTCCTACATGATGCCTATTGCCTACTACAACAAAATAGCTGAACATCCGAAAGATTAACTGGGGGCTTGCAAGTTACCAGAGGATTTGACACCTTAGTGATATTACACTAAAGTGTTGCATAGACACAGAAGGATCTGAAAACTCATGCAGTTGGGATGAACTCAACTCACCCATGAAGAAAGACAGAGGCAGGTTCAGGAGAATCTCTGCAATTTATTATGAACAGTCTGGACATTTGCTAGCTCAGTGCCCAGTAAAAGACCAGGCCTGCAGTAGAAAGGCTACTGGAAAGACAAATGCCAAGGTCTTCATCCTTGTCTCGCCCTCAT